GGGGGGGGGGGGGGCGGCGGCATGAGTGACTCAGGTCGAAGACTCGTTCGCTCTAAGGGCGCTGCTGTGGTTTTGCATGTTACGAACCTCGGGAATGCAGAGGCTATCAAGGCATCTTCGCCATCCTCGCCATCCATACCATCCGTGCTACGTCGCCCGTTACCATGCGCCTCTTCTTCACGTCGCATTCTCTTTGCCACAAGCTCTCCCTCTACCGCTTTAACACACACACTGTCTTTCTTGCTCTCTCTCTCTCTCTCTCTCTCTTTAAGTCTCTTACGTCTCGTCTTGTTTCTCAGCTCCACGCAGCATCCTCTCTCGCGGCCATTGCAAACAGACAGAACAAGAATAAAAGAACGCGGGAGTACCACCCTCCACGTCACCACGCTCAAGATCCGATAAAATTATACCCAGGAATTCGGTCGGATCACTTAGGTCTCGCTATCTCTTTCTCTCGCTCTCGTTCGATTTGTACTCTCCTCTTCTAGTTTCATTCTCATTCCAACAGTTAATCTCGCTCTTCGTACACGTCCAAGTCCAGAAGTAAGTCCCTCGTCTACACGTGTCGCCACGTATCCTTCCGGCAGAGTTTCCAACTGTACCAAAGGCGAATAATTCCCTCGGTGTGTCGCCGTAAGACCGCAGTGGGAATTCCGAGCCAAGATCGATCGTCCCAAGGACAAGCTCAATGTAACCAAGCCTGTCCTTACTCCCGTGGCCGACGTCTCTCTACGTAGCCACCGTGACGGCTGCCCTGTACTCCTCTTCGCGAACGGCCTCCTGGCTTTTCTCCCGGATACACAAACTCAACGAATGGCAGCCACGCTCTGGCGCTGATCCAGCCTCCTACGCGGTCAATATACTCATCCAGCATTTCCAACGCGCTACTAAAACACAAGGGACGCACGTTCAAAAGAAATATTGGCACAATGCCGCTTAGAATCAATGACCCCCGTGACCGAGGTAACGCCGCTGCCATATTTCTCTATCTTTACGTCTATCTAGCATTCCCATTTGTATATCTATATCTGTTTCTCCATCTGGACGGCATAGGAATCTGTGCACGCCTCCTCTATGTATATGATACATCATACTATATATCAAACGGGTCCAATGACAGCAACGGCAGAGGCTCTGAAATTACTTGCTACGTATTCTCTCCTGCGAATTTCGTCGTTCATTGGTCATTTATATAAAGATCTTGACGGTCCCTCGATTTTGACGCTGTTGTCTACACGTTTGACGCTTGGCATTTGGCATTCGTTTGCCGATGCAGTTCGACTTCTCTCTCTCTCTCTCTCTCTCTCTCTCTCTCTCTCTCTCTCTCTCTCTCTCTCTCTCTCTCTCTCTCCCTCTCTCTCTCTCTCTCTCTCTCTTGACTGTTCTCGCACTGAGAGCGGTGCAAGTGCCAGAGATAGGAAGAAACGGCACCGGTGGGGGAGTTGGTCGAGGAGGATTAAGCATCGTTCACACTGTGAATTCGCACCGTTATACATATATATATATATCCGTCTTAGTGTTTAGGATCGCCGATTCGACGAGCCGTGTGATTATGTTTTTAAGTATCCTAATAAATATAGTCAAGGACATTCCGGAGATCCTAATTTTTCAGTCATACAGCCTTCACGAGGGTGAAGAGCTAATCTGGATGCTGAGTAACCGAGTGAGAGGGAGCGCGAGTGTATGGCGAGAGAGAGAGAAAGAGAGAGAGAAGCTCTCTCCAAAGGGAGTCCAGACGAACCTGTTATACCTGAACGAAGCTCGCACGCATCGGGTCCCAACTCCGTTCTCTGTGAGTCAACCCAGCGCGGCCTCAGAGTCCTCTGAGAAGAGAGGGACAAACATGGAATACAGAATAGTTGAATGGGAGGGACGAGAGAGGGCGAGAGAGATTGCTGTTGCCATGTGACTGGATGCATTGACGAGCTGAGCGCCAGCATTTTTACGGGCAACCAGGCAGCAGCAACGGCTCTATGGGCTACCAGTACCGTAATCTACTGGTTGCTGGCGGGCAAGATGCGATCAGATGGATATTTAATTTATGGAATTTTTCGAGTATTTCATATACGACGATGCCGCAGTACTCTTCCCCCCGTCTTCTATCCGGATAAAAAGAAGCGGGTGTTCGATTTGAAAGTCATTGGATATCATTGTGGAACTACTTTTCTTTCTTTCTTTTTTTTTTCCCTTCCTCGTCCGGCATTCAAATAAAATTCCTGTGGAATTTCAAAACGCGTGGGACACGCCGTCATTGTATAGCGCCATGCAAATAGAGCCCAGGACCCGGAGTATTCAGGCGAGGCAAGGAGTCGGCTCAAGTCAAAGAAGTCGAAGAAGAAGGCCGAGGTGGCCCCCTGAGAAGGATGCGAGGAATGCGATGGGCGCGCCGGCGGTGGACTCTCCTGCCTTCTCTTGGCTCTTCAGGTTAGGGCCACCTCCTTGCAGAGTACCTCGACCCTGACTTAACGACCCAGCGAATGAATTCAGCACCAGGTCCCGAAGCTGGTGAGATCCAGCACCAGTCGAACTGGGTACAACGTTGGTCAACGAAAAGTAAGCGATACTCCTCGTGCCAATAATGATTCTGCTTATAAAATCTAATCCAGTCTACGTTCGCTTCCTTCAGGACGATTACCATCAGACTTCCAGTGCATGTATCCGCACAAGTAATAACGGCTGAACTTTGATCCCGTGAGTAATCGGGCTGTCGCCGCCTTACGTTCTATATCGGGATCAGCCAGCGTCCCGACGCTCTTTTACCACCACTGTCAGCCTGAGACCAGCGCCGATCATCAGCACTCCCATAAGCATCGCCTCCTCCTAACGTCAACACTATACCACCGCAAACGCCTCGTTGCCAGAGCGATAATTTTTCTTTCAACCAACCAACGACCCAAGAATCGTCCAGGTCTCCACGACCTGCTGCAGCTTCGATTTCTGCAGCCGTTGATGCCGCTGAGTCACGGCAGCGCCGCACACTCTCCTCAGCCGCTAATGTATATAATAGTGCCAACGTGCACCGGCCCTCGCACCAGGAACACTCTGCGTCCCCCCAAAGGGGGTATCCAGTCATTCTATAGCATTATGTTACAACGGGGATAACGTAAGATTTCCTATGGTATAGCGACAATCAGGTATCGCGATACCCACTCTGACTCTTCATGCGGTAGAGCCGGCCAGACATGGGGGCTATTACCCTCGGGGACGGTAGTCAGTAACTACGACGTACTACCTGGTTACAATCAATACACGGAAAAGTGTTTTGAACTTCCGATGGATGCCTAGAGAATGGCTCGGAGAGTGCTCTTTGTGTCCGGTTGGATGGTATCGGACAGGGGCTGATACTACTTATTGTTAGCGAGCGATAAATTGTCGATAATGAAGATAGCAGCGATTCCCTGGCTGTAGTGTGAAAGAGAGAGAGAGAGAGAGAGAGAGAGAGGAGAAAAGGAATAGAGGTAGAACGAACGAGTGAGAAAAAAAGAAAGAGAAAAATCTCGTATCACGCTTCGTCCTCTCACGACTCCCTTTTTAATTGCCGTTTATTGTCATTAGCCGGGGCTAAATTCTCAGCGTTTGTACACGCATGCGTCTTGTATCCTGCGTAGGCTTATCTTAATTAAATAATTTCATACCGCCTGTCCTGGCTCGCTGGCAAGCCGGCTCGTACAAATACGTAAAGGGGGTTATTTTCTTATCAGTGCCTCGGCGTAAATTGGTACTTCGTTACGTTAGTATGTATCGCTGAGCTCCAATTGTGAGAACCATGCGTCTTCTTGTTACACGTAATATCCCAGTATCTATACTAGGTATTTCCACAAACTGTGATAAGAATATTTAAAAAAAAGATGTTTATGTACATATAAACATACATCTGTATATCTAACATATGTTTATGCCTCGTTCGTATCACATGTACGCAAACATTTCTCTTATCTGGCGATAATGTGCGTGTTTCAGGTGCGAACGGCATGCGGCCGTGCGGAACTTAATTCGGCTGTCACGACGACAAATTCGGATGACAGCAGCGCCGCGACGTTGACCGTCGTCGACGCGTCCACGCTACCGTCACCCTTCACACCCAGGACGCCGCCCAATCAGCTGCACGTGCAGCTAGGTAACTTCCTTGCTAGTGTCGAGCGATCACGCACCTTCTACGGTAACCTGGCAGACACCATCTGCGAGGAGTATCCCGATAAGCACTGCTGGAACGGAGAGCGTATCGGAGAGTGAGTCTCTGTAGTATATTATGCATCTTGTAATACATCTATATATATATATATATATATATACACTGTAGCGTAAGAGAGGTTTACGGAGTGTCCATAGGCACTGGGTACTTGTCCAAGTAAATCGCAGCTGTGCCACGCTGACCAATGAGGCTCCGGAACGGGACACCAGGACGTCTAGGCAAATGTTAGGAAGGCACGCAGAGTATAGAGAATCCAGAAAGAATTCTCAGGAAGAGCGAGAGAGATAGATGTATATACAGGGTGCAGGGAGAGGGGGAGAGAGAAAAAGCATAAAATGAAAAACAGAGAAAAGCAGGTAGTGGGTTGTACGTACATGCATGTAGACACATAAGCATATATACTTACGTACCTCTTTCTAGTCCTGACAGCATACAGTATAGGTATAGATATTCGCGAAAAGCTTGGAGCCCAAACGGCGACGTCCCGGCGCCCATTCCTCGCTCGTTGCCAGACTCTCTGGCGTCTAGGCGCTCGCCGGCGTCCTATCGACTGCACCGTCCTGAGCTTGCTGTCCCTCTCCGATGACTCGCTTTTCCACTACCTGTCTCTCTTCAGCAGCGGAGTACGGAGCTACTCGTGCAATCTTCGCATGGCGCTACTCGACGGCTACCCCAGTGGCTCCAAGGGCTCGGATGAACTTGGTAGGGATGGAATTAGGCAGGATTTTATAAAGAGGAAAGGTCTTTCCTTTAATCTTTCGGATGGCATGTCATACAAGCGGGATTTTACTGTCGCGCGAAACGTAATGTATCTTTGGTCTCTGTCGAGGGTCTGTCTGATATGCTTTTTTTATTCGGGGATCATTATCAATTCCGTATAACCTATATAACTCGTGTACATACAGACTTGTGAATGTACGTGGATGAATTTCGTGAAGATATGCGACGAGGATATCCTTTTTTAGATCTCATTAGGGACTTTTTTTTTTATATAGATCACGTACAAAATACAGAGACCAATATAGTATATACTGTTGGCCCCGAGACAAATGTGTTCAATCCTTTTTTCGAATGTGACGCATATGCCATATGGGTTGCCAGTTCGAGTTAGTCATGGCTTTAAAACGATATCGAATATCAGAAATTTCCTTAAGAGTGTCGTACCGTGGAATTAATTTTTTTCGGAGAAATTGATAAATTCTCGTCGTTCCGATATCTCAAGTCATTTAAACATTACGACCGACCGAAGCTATAGGATGAAACCGCAGACAACTCGAGAAAGAGCAATACCCACTGGGCGATTATATTGGAGGATCGGGTACATCCTTCCTTGTCTAACGCAGGCGAGCGCCAATGAGTCCGTCTCTCTCGCACGCGCGGCAGATATAGCAGACTTGAAAAATTCTAAGCACACTCAAATAACTCGCTCTTGACGGAGAACGTTTGTTTGCGAAGATCATCGGGGGGGGGGGGGGGTTT